TGATTTAAATCATGATTTAAATCACTAGTAAAAAGGCTTGATTTTAATTAACTCAATTTAAATCATAACTTTTAAAGAACAACTGTCATCTCTGTCCCGCAGCAGCTCCTCCTCCGACCCACTGTTGACTTACCAACAGTCCCAATATTGCAGAATATACAGCCTCATTCTACATAACTAAGCTCTATTTCATGCTGAATAAACTACATTATTGATATATCTTAAATAGAAAACAACCTTTAGATAGATTTTTCCTCCAAAAGCATTTTATTAAAATAAATTTGATAAAAAAAATTAAAAATCTGATTTAAATTTAAAAAAAACCCATTTTTTTAAAAAAAACATCAGTTTTTATCCACCCTGCTTAGATGCCACAGAGTGTAGTCTGATTTTATGGTAATGAAGTTTGTTTTGTTTTAGTAGCATGTATTTGTGCAAACACAACCAAATGTAGTTGGTTCCCTAAACGAGGCCTGAGTAGCCTGTAGCATGCAGCCCAGGTTTTGCACTCTCCAAAATTGTGCTCCTGAAATTTGATGGCAAATTGCTCATTTTTGCAACTGTTATGCTTTTATTTAACTGATGCAATACTCGAAATCAATGTCCCAAGTATCTGGCAAGTTAAAACCAGTTATTTTGAGTGAATTCCCTCCCAACATCCCAAAAATAATTTCAAAAAAAGTTGCAGATTTGTTCCTGCATATGTGGGCTCTGCAGCTATCTTGTTCCCCAAGAGAACAGGAAAAAAATGTACAGCTCAGGAAAAAATATCACTACCTTTGTAGTAAATATAAACCATGGTAAAAATGTAAAAGAGAATCTGGAAATGAATTTTGGCTATTTGTAATCTTTGGAGCTCTGGAAGTCCCAAAGGTGTGCAGACTGGCTATTTATGTCATTAGGGTCACATTTTTTTGCTTTCTTGCACTAAATTATAGTTTGGGTTTAAGCTCCATTTAATTTTCAAACTGTTGTTTTAAGGGGGGTTAGAGCAAACAAACTATAATTTCAAATTTGCTTACCTAAGTTTCAGTTAAGCAAAAACTGAAATTAAAATCTTGCAAAGTCTCTTCATGGTTATGTTCATAGAGAAGACAGGAGTGCTTCCATATAAGCTTAAGGTCTTACTGGGCTCATTCCTTATACAGGCAGTCCTTGACTTACAACAGTTTGTTTAGTGACCAAAGTTACAATGGCATTGAAAAATGTGATTTATGACCCTTTTTCAAAGTTACAACCTTTGCAGCATCCCCATGGCCATGTGATCCAAATTCAGATTCTTGGCAATTGGTTCATATATATTGATGGTTACAGTGTCCTAGAGGCACACAATCCCCTTTTGCAAACTTCTGACAAGCAGAGTCATTGGGGAAGCCAGATTCACTTAACCGGGTTACTAACTTATCAACTGCAGTGATTCACTTAACAACTGTAGCAAGAAAGGTCGTAAAATGGGGCAAAACTCACATAACAATTAAGTGAGTTTAACAACAGAAATTTTGGGATCAATTGTGGTTGTAAGTCGAGGACTACCTGTACTGAATTGGGCCACAAAACTTCAGGGGCTTATGGGCCCTCTGCAATTCAGTGGCATCTCTTCATCATCCTTGAGGTTGGGTAGTTTTAGATTGAAATTCCCACTTTTTCTCTGCATCTTGAATTTTGCAGCAGATTCACCTTGTAGGAACAGGATTTGAGATGTAGAACAAGGATGTGTTGGCCTGGGGATAGCAGCCATAACCAGTTTCTGCATCGTTCCAAACTAGCAGAAATTGTGAAAAGTAGATTTTGTGTCAGCAGGTAGTTTTCCAGAAATACGTTAAACGCACCATCCTCATCCTGCTCTGAATTCATGAACTCTTTGAACATTTTCCCTTAAAAACAGTCAAGGGTGCTACCACTCATCTGGAGATCTTTCAGAGAACATTTACTGTATTCTTACTCCTAGTACACAGTTATGGAGATGTGACTATTCCCAATAAAAAATCAGGAGAGGAATGATAGGAGTTGTATGTTTTTCATTCCTTTTTGCATATAAGATGGGGAATATACCATAGGGTATATGGGGTAAGGAAAATTAACATTCAGCTTCAGTACATGTGATCCTTGACTTACGACACTCCATTTAGTGACTGTTCGAAGTTGCAATGGCACTGAAAAAAGTCCATTTTTCACATGAACTGTTGCAGCATCCCCTTGCTCAAGCAAACAAAATTCAGACGCTTGGCAACTGACTCATTCATAATAGTTACAGTGTCCCGGGGTCATGTAATCCCCTTTTGTGACCTGACAAGCAAAGTAAGTGGGAAACCAGATTCACTTAACAATCATGTTACTAACTTAATCATTGGTTACTCCCACATCAGAGGAGATCAGTTTTCTTCAACTTGATGTTTCCAGGTGTGTTAGACTGCAGCTGTCAACTCCCCTTTGGTTAGTATGTTGACATGCTACATCTTAGAAGCTTTTATTTTTAGTATATTTACATGACAGCTCATCATCGAAGGCAGCAAAGAGGAGAAAACAAAATCAATTTCCCAGTCAATTTAATTAGGTTGAAACCCATAAAGAATCACATTAACAACATGTCAAGGACAGCTGCATGCAAGTCAGACCTCTATTAACACTCTGGCCCCACCCTGGGATTAGCTAAGTCTTCACAGTCTTTGAAAAGGCCAGTAAGGGGTGGGGGGCTGTCCATATCAGAAGGCAGGATGGTAACAAGACAGGTAGCACAATACAAGTCCTCAACTTATGATCAAATTTGAGCCCAAAATTAATGTTGCTAAGTGAGAATGTTGTTAAGTGGGTTTTGTCCCATTTTTCTTGCCACAATTGTTAAGTGAATCACTGCAGTTGCTCAGTTAGTAATATGGTTATTAAGGGAATCTGGCTTCCCCATTGACTTTGCTTGTCAGAAAGTTGCAAAAGGGGATCACATGACCTTGGGACACTGCAGTGGTCATAATTATGAATCAGTTCATAAATGTGACTCAGTTGTCAAGCATCCAAATGTAAGTCAAATGACCATGGGGATGCTGCAGTGGTCATAAGTGTGAAAAATGGTAATATGTCACTTTTTTTTCAGCACTGTTGTAACTTCAAATAGTCACTAAGCAAACTGTTGTAGGTTGAGGACTACGTACAGAAATGATGTTTCCTGGAACCCACTGTGGGACATTCTTCACTGATAGGGTCCGAAGCTTGCTCCTTCATCTGGAATAGGCAGTCACTATCACTTGTGACTCTAGGATGACCCTAGATTGCATACCAACTCTGTCTGAGGGAGTATTACTCCATCCAGAGTCAGTGATGGAAAAATACTAGTTATGAGGAGCCTTAAATCCCACAGCTATTTAGTCTTGTCAAGGTTGAGCTGAAGTCAATTTTTTCCCCATCCAGATCCCAAATCTTCGGGCATTGGGAAAGCATTTAGATGGAATCATTTAGTGACCTGGGGCAGAGATAGTAATGATACCTAACCTGATGTTAATGGGTTCTGTCACCTAATAGCTTCATGTAGATCAGTGACCCCCACCATCTTTTGGGCACTAGGGACTGTTTGTGTGGAGAGAGAGTTTTCCATGGACCGGAGGGGACGTGGTTTTTCACAAGCTGCTTGCATCCCACAGATGGGGATTTGCCTGTTTGCCCGGACTGGCTGCTGGCTTGCCACAGCCTGGGGATCGGGAAACCCTGATGTCGATGATAAATAGAGGTGGGAGAGAGTAGAATCCTGTGAAACTGATAAGGCACGATTAAATATATTCTACTACATATATTGACAGCACCAAGAATAGCATTTGCACAATGTTGGAAACAAAATAACATGCCGTGAGAGGAATTAGTAATTCAGAAAATTTTAGATTGTACTGAAATGGATAAACGTACGTTAAAATTAACAGATAAAGAAGAGTCAGAGTATTATGAAGTTTGGGACAAGTGGTACAAATGGTTGAACAATAGAAATAAGAATGTTAGAGATAAGAAAATTGTAGACAAATGTATATAAATGTATATATGTATGTGATCGATATATGTAATAATGATGTCATGTCCAGTTGTTAAGTTCAAGATTTGTAAAATGTGAAAAAGAACAATAAAAAATAATAAAAAAGAAACTGATAAGGCACATTGTTGTCCACTTTTATTGTATATATTTGTCCAAAAGTCCTATTGAGTCCAATAAGCCTATTTTTGAGTGGGAGTAAAATATCGGATATAGTTAAATCAAGGTTCTTCATTTTTTTTTTAAAAAAAGCCATTGGTTACTAAAGTAAATCTTGGAGTGGCTGTGGCCCCCTGCCCCTATGTTAGATAATAATTTAGCTGTTGTCTGGCTGTCACAAGGGGGTCAAATATTCATTAAAATTGCCTTTACTCTTGAGAGAAACAGTATTGCAGTCCTTGGTGTGACTCCAAAGATGGAGGGGAGACCTGGGACTTGTTTGCTCAGAGCTGTAATTAAATAAAAGTTAAACCATGTTAATTAAATAAAATGTCCTTGAAGTTGAGATTGATTTTTGGTGCAATGTGGACATGTTGGTTTTGTTTCTGGCCAGTTTGGAAGTGGTTGCTGCTGCCTTTTTCTGATATGTTTTGATTTTTACAAAATTTTAAGAAAATGAAAATGGTGGTAACAATCAGAAAATGCTGATTGTTGACCTATGATGCATTTATTTTATTGAATGACTGATTTGATTTGATTTGCTTTTTTATCCTGCCCTTATTACTTTGTAAGTAACTCAGGGCAGTGAACTTACATAATACTCCTTCCTTTTCCTATTTTTTCCCACGAAAAACCCAGTGAAATGGGTTGGTCCAAAGTTGCCCATCCGGCTTTCATGCCTAAGGTAGGACTAGAACTCGCAGTCTCCTGGTTACTAGGACAGCACCCTAGCCATTAGGCCAAACTTGCTCTCTAATTCTTACATAATAAACTGTACTATACTGTAAATTTTCTTCTGTATAACAGCTTTCCAAACTTCCTTTTATTGCAGCTTCCGATCAAAACTAGCCAGCAGAATACTCACACCAAAGTCAGCACGGAACATAACAAGGAATGTCTCATCAACATTTCCAAGTATAAGTTCTCTCTGGTTATTAGTGGCCTCACAAATATCTTAAAAAATGTTAACAACATGGTAAGAGATATTTTCTCATTGACTTAAACTTCTTTTGATGTGGAGCAAGAGAAATATTTTTTTAAGTCTACGTAGATAGATAAATATATATTGGCTTGTTTTATTTTTATGAGAATTGGATGCCTATTATAATTAGAAGCTCTGAGAAAATACATTACATTCATTTCCTATCTGTAAAGTTATATGACAAAGATTCCCCCCACCGATGAAGACAGGCTAAATACAGATCAATTCTATCCTTGGTAAAACCAGGATAAATAACATTGTTCATGTCTATATAATGGAACCTTATATAAAGCAAAAAAGCAAAAAAACAACAACCCATAAAGTGTAATTTTATATAAAACATTGGATATCTGAAGTGTATGTGACATAGAATAAGATGGCTGCAGTTTGTGATTAAAACCAGTGGAAATGCTTATTTGATTGATTATTATTAATTATTATTTAAACATTTTATTAGATTATAGAATAAGATACAAAAATACAAAAGCAAATAGAAAATACAGTGGGGGGAGGAGAAAGAGAAATGGGGGGAAGGAAAAAAGAAGAAACCTCAACTTTTTACTTTTCCATAATAATATAAACTAGTCGTTTATAAAAACAAATCAGTATAATCAGTAAAACCCCAAGTCAAAGTTTCATCCCCCCCCCACACCTCAAGCACAAAGTCCAGAAGTGACCTTCATGTACCAACAAAAGTACTTATATTCTTTTCTGTGATCAAAACAGTCAATTTGGGCATTTCTGCCAACTCCATCAGCTTCTGAAGCCATGGTGGAAAAATGATTAAATATTTGATTCTGTAGCTAGTGTTTCTTTTGGGAAAAGAACTGCTTGTGTATTGATGTATGTCTTATTTTGTCCTTCTGTCTCTGTCCTTTGCTGAGGAAAAACTGAAATTAGGGTCTTCTTGCTGGAAATAGTAGGTCTCTCTAGACCAGGGTTCTCCAACCTTTTGGACTTCAGGGACCACCAAATTCATAATTTTAAATCCTGCGGACCACTAATATGATTTTTTTTTTTAAAAAAAAACACATTTGTAAAATAATGATCAGAGAACTTCCATTTTATTAATATGAAATGCACCTATTTAATATAACAACATTATAAATGCTTATTTAATTATAACAAAATCACGAATGCTTATTTAATCATAACAAAATCTTTAAAGGTTGTTTAATCATCACAAAATTATTAAAGTTAGTGTAATTATTACAAAATGGTCAATCTGAGTGAAGGAAAATGAAGATGGGCAGACTGACGGTGGCTTGCTGACGTTGGTGGGAAAGTTGGTCCCATATTCCAGAGCTTTGGTAGTCACAGGACTGGCCCTTTGGTCGTCCCGGAGCAGCTCCTCCACCTGGGTGCACCAGCCTGCCATAAAGGAGCTGCTCCAGGATGACCAAAGGGCCAGTCCTGTGACTACTACAGCTCTGGAATATGGGACCGGCCTGTGGTGGGGCTGAAAATCCCCGCCATAGGGGGATGGCACGTGGAATGTACAACTTTGCAGGTGGTGCAATGTACAAAAAGGAGTGCAGCCCTCGCTAGCCGGAACGAGGTAATGGTGCTGTTGCGGCGGTGGTGGGGCGGGCGGTGCAAACATTGCAAAGCGGTGGCTGGAAGGTGCAGGAGCAAAGCGCTACTCACATTTGTGCGGAATCAGCATTCTGCATTTGCCGTGGTATATTTGCAGCAGCTGGTGGCGCCAAGGGAGCCCCCGTCTCCTACCGCTTGGGCCTCGCTAAAAAGCGTCCGTAGTGCAGAGAGAAGCAGCCAGAGTCACTCTTGTCTCTCAAGGAGTGTTCGCTGAAGCGGCGTGGGAAACTTCGACTGGGCTCCTTGAGAGATGGGAGTGACTCCAGCTGCTTCTCTCCGCTTGTTATGCTTCCCGGACCCTGGAAAGAAGCAGCCGGAGTCACTCTCATCTCTCAAGCCCGACCAAAGTTTCCCACGCCACTTCAGCGAGCGCTCCTCGAGAAATGAGAGTTTGCAGATAGCTTGGCCGCCTGTTAATGGAGAGAAGCAGCAGGAGTCAACCCTAGCAATGCTGTCCATTGTGGATGCTAAATCAGCCCCCTACATGGCCATTTCTCTGCGGACCACCAACATTTTCTCACAGAGCACCAGTGGTCCCCGGACCACTGGTTGGAGACCACTGCTCTAGACTTCGGCATTTAATGTTAGGAGAATAATAGCACCGTGTTTTGAAAGTTATATAAGGATTTAGTATGTGTGAGCTTATCAGAGGATTGGGATGTGACAGGACAGAAGAGAAACCATAATAAGCTCTCGAAAAGAATATTTAACAGCTACAGGCCCATCGGTATTGTAAATTCTGTAATCTTTCATCTCATAGTAAGTTTCTAACACCCCCTCATTAGGTAACTTCCCGAATAACCAGAAGAATTTTATGTAAAACTCTGGCAGACAAAGACACTAAAACAACACAAAGTTGTCATTGAATTTATTTTTGCAGTCTTGCAGAAATGGTACTTTGGGATTGATTACCGATTATTGTGTAGAGGATAGATTGTTCTTACTTTATTTTGCTCTATATTTTATCTTATTGTTTTTATTTTGTTACGTTTGGAGGATTTGTGAAGTGTAATAAAGTTGCTCATTCAAAAGATATAGAGGGTATCAGGGAGGTTATGTTCTTTTGGAAGTAGCGTGCTGATTGGGGTGGGTGACAGTATAAGTCAGCTTTGTTACCAAAAACTAAACTAATATTTTGATTTTTTTTTCTTATAGAGAATATTTAGTGAAGCTGCTGAAAAGAACTTGTATCTTTCTCAGTTGATTATTTTGGATACACTGGAAAAGTGTCTTGCTGGGGTGAGTAGCCTGTAATTTTCTTAACAAGATGTTGACATCAACACCAGTTAGTTTATGCGTGTAATGTTTTTTTATTGTTTTAATACAGCATTGGTCAACTAGGTGCCCTCCAGATATGTTTGGCTGCAACTTCTAAAGTGAATTCTGTGAATGCTGAGAATTGTAATTGAATTGTGGGAATTCTGAGAATTGTAAGCAGAACAAATCTGGAGGTTACTTTTAGTAAACTTCCAATCTTGTTTTGTTGCTTTCCTGAAGTTGAAGTACAAAGTTGCTTGTAAAAAGTGAGGATTTTAAAATATGGAACAAAAATCTGTTAAATAAATAAACAAATATGATATATACCTCAGCTTAGTTGTGAAGCGTTGTGCATTTATTTTCAATGTCTGTATGGCTCAGCTCTGCGTGGGTTTTCTTATGCCCTTTAAATGGAATAGTTTTTTCATTTCGTTTTGTTTTTTTGTAAATTGGAAATTTACACTTCAAGCCTCTGATATGCCCCAGATGGATAAAAAAAAATACATTTGACTATTATAAGAGAAACTTCAAACTGACGGTGCTCCCAGATAGTATTATCAAAGTTTAAAGAATGTGATAGGCACTGTATATGGGTAGTCCTTGAATTGCAACCATTGGTTTAGCAACTGTTCTAAGTTACAATGGCACTGAAAAAAGTGGCTTACAATGGTTCTCACACATATAACTGTTGCAGCATTTCCACAGTCACATCACAATTCAGGGCTCATGGCAACAGGCATGTATTTATGATGGTTGCAGTGTCATGTGATTGCAATCTTTGACCTCCTTTCTGACAAAGTCAGTGGGGGAAGCTGGATTTGCTTAATGAGCTCATGATTCACTTAACCGGATGATTCACTTCATTGTGGCAAAAAGGTCATAAAATCGGGCACGACTTCTTAACAACTACCTTAACAACTAGCAGTGGATATTCCAGACGCAATACTGATCGTAAATCGAGGGTCATGTATACCGTAATATCATATGAGGAGCACTCCAGTTTAGTGACTGCAAAATAAGTTTAGTGTTCTCCTTTGACTTTCTGGTTTTATTTCAGGTTGATTCAGTTCTGCACTGTACTCATGAAACATCTGTCCCATTGTTAAAGATGACTTTTGCAGGTGCTTCTTAGTTTATATTTCTTTGGTTTGTTAAACTTCCAGAGGGAATGTCATCTTGTACTTTCTGGGGGAAAAAAATCCAATTTTTATTTGGTTCTGTTCTCGGAGATAGTCAGCTCTCACTCCCCTTGCCCCCACCCTTGTTTCTTTGGGAATGTCACTCATTAGTTAGTGTCTTGTATGAAGCAGAATTGTAAAGCTAAACCTGGGCTTTGTGAAATTGAAGAATATATGTTTATTCCTGAAGGTTTCCTCAATGCAGTTCCAAGTTTAATGTAATCAGATCTTCCATAAGCTGCCTGTGATTCTCCACAAATGGTTTTGAAAGATTGAGTTCCAAGCCACAGCAGACAGAAGACTTGGGTTATTTGACGCTTGTATAAACAACATTCTATATTACCTCTTTCTGATCTCATTGTATATGTTGGACACAACTTTCTATCATTCCCTTGTGAAGTGAATTCTAGCCCAACACATTTGGAGCATTCATGTTTGGGAAAATGTCTTCCCAGTGGCTTGTGAATACTCAGATAAGATACTGTTAGGAAAAACAAGATGAGGCACTGAAGAGAACAGATATAGAGAGGTTGAGCCTATCAATAATGATCTTTATTTAGTATTTAGTATTTTAGTATTTATTTGATTTGTCAATCGCTTACAAGAGACAGGTATAAGAATAAATATAGTTTTGAATACATGAGATAGATACTTATAAGAATTGCTTTGCTGCCAAAAATTGAGAATCCAAACCCAAGCCTCATCTACCCACCTTACAGTAACTTCACCATAAACAACTAGTAGGGAGGGATATGTGGGTTGGCATGGCTGCATGTCAAAACATCTTGGAGTAGGTTGGTCCAGTTGAGAATATTTGCACATTGACTAAACTGGCTGTAAGAATCAGGTGACCTGTGTTGGCTCTGTTCTGATGGTCTATTGCTGGAGTGTTCAACCATGGCAACTTGAAGACTTGTGGACTTCAACTCCCAGAATTCCCCAGCCAGAATACTGGGAATTGAAGTTTACAAGTCTTAAAGTTGCCAAGGTTGGAAACTCCTGGTCTCTTCCTGTGTGTAGGCTCTGATTTCCTTTTTCCTTTGTGAAGTCTGCTCTTTCTTCAACATCAGGTGCCTGCTAAGCTGCACTTTATCCTGATGGTTGCTTCCAATCCTATGAGGCCAACTATTTTAACACTAAGGAGACCCTGAAAGAATTCATTGTTTCCCACAGATATAAAAAAGACACCCTTCATTTGGCTTATTGAAAGGCCATTAGCTGAACATTTAGGTATAGAATTTTACATTGAATCCTGGATAGATTTTCATTGGCAAGGAAGAACCAAGAGGTCAGCCAATATTGTTGGATTTGTCCTGAATGACAACTACTTAGAAGAACAAAACCCACTGTTGTGTTAATTATAGAAAATCAAGAAAAGAAAAGAAAAAAAGTAATTGAAACTGCTGATGCAATATTATTTAAACTGAAAGGATGACTATAGTCCAATCCTCATGGAGTTTGTTCAGTATATAAAAATAGTCCTCAAATTCCAACCATTTGTTTAGTGACTGTTTGGAGTTACAATGGCACTGAAAAAGTGACTTATGACCGTTGCAGCATCCCCATGGTCATGTGATGGTCACATGATCAAAATTCAGATGGTTGGCAACTGGCATGTATTTAAGATGGCTGCAGTGTCCCCAGAGGCTTTTGTTATACGAAAAGCTTAACAAACTTACCTAAATTAACTTATTACATATCTGTGCTATACTTACATTAATGTCTACACTTATGCATGATTCCTAAGACATCTTAACAGTTCCGTACTTCTTTGTTGCCCAAGCTCATGACCAAGTCTTGAGCCATTGTTTAGTCATCTTCAAGTTAGTTGGCCTCTCTTGCTATCAGATGATATTCTGACCTGCTGCTGAAGCATTGGTTTTGTATGGTCCCTCAGTCTGTCACTGTTTTTTGGAAGTGGTGGTTGAAGGAAGATGCTTTACCAGCAGCTGGGCATCCTACAGACTGCAAGAGTCCTCACTTTCCCTTTCTCTATTCCCTTTCCCTTTTGCATCCCCTTCCCCTTCCTTCCCTTTCTTCCCTTCCCCATCCCTTTTCTTCCCTTTTGTTTTCCCTTCCCCTTCCTTCCGTTCTCATTCCCCTTCCTTCCTTTTTGCTTTCCCTTTCTTCCCTTTCCCCCTTTCTTCCCTTTCTTCTTTTTTGCTTCCCCTTCCCCTTCTCTTTCCCTTTTACTTTCCTTTCGACTTCCTTCCTCTCCCCATTCCCTTCCCCTTCTCCTTTTGCTTTCCCTTCCCCTTCCTTCCTTTCCCCTTCCTTCCTTTCCCCTTCCTTCCTTT